CTGGGCGACAGAGCAAGAGTCAGTGTCAATAAATAAGTAAATAAGAAACCTCCCAAAAGGTCAAACAGTATACCATGTTCCCTCTGCTTGGTCTTCCCCAGTATATGAGGAGCTCAAGCTGGGAATCTTAGAAGATAGACTCTTTGCAATCTACAGTTATCCATTTACTGATATCTTAAAGAAGCAAGAAGTGGAACTCGCAGCCAGTCGGTGATGATGCCAGCAGCTCCTCCTAGTCTATCACCTCAAGAGGAACTGTCAAAATAACAAATGACATATTTTTAAGTTGCAGGATTACCCCGTAGCTGGGCTCTGTTGGTTTGATTAGCAGTTACTTTTTCCTTTCAGTGTCTTTCTTTCATCTTCTCCTCCTTCTTCTTTTCATTTTCTTCCTCTGCTCCACTCATCCATAAAGGCCACTGCTTTCAGGAAACGGCTTCTCTAGGAAGAATTCCGCAGTATCCTATTACAATCACATTATCTTCTTGACAGGTATTACCTGTCAACAGCAGTTTGGGACAGAGCGGAGAGCTTCCACCCAGCTCAGCGGAGCCACTCCCTGGTTCCTGGGTAGAGAAAAATGGCCAAAGGAGAGAGCTCTTTGGAGGCCTCAAAATCTCATTTTCATTCCCCTTGCAGAGAAGAGACTGACTTTATTGACAAAGACGACTGAAAATTGCTTGAGCGTTCCAATAACCAGTCTGCGTTGAGGCAGAAAGACAGTCTGGCGGAGGCAAGCTCCCTGCTCCACCGCGATCTCCGCAGAGCCACACTTCCCTGCAGCACCAGTCTGTGGCATATGCAGACTAGACTGAGAGGAGCCTCCTGTCGGCCTCAAAAGCAGCCCCCCTCCACCTCCACTCCCAGCCTGCTGGTGCGTTTCCTGGATCCCAATCACAAATCAACACGAATGTGGGGAATCTCTGCCAGACACCAAACTCTCAGGCTGATTCAGGAGCTCGGGGTCAGGCCTAAGTCGGCTTGGACCAGGCACAGGCCCCACTTCCCACGGGAGTGCCCTGTGGCTTGGCTGCACGTTGCACGTGGGCCACTAGATGTCACCATTATTGATTCTTGTCCTTATACCAAGGTCCTGAGTCTAAGACAGGGTCCCAGGGCTGGGGGAACTCTGGAGAGAATTCCATCACAGCGTTGACTGCAGGGCTGCTATGTTCACTGTGTCTGAGTTCCTTGGTGGGCCTTTTCTAAATAAATTAGCATCTCATACCCAAAACAACTGAGCTGCAAATTAAGCAAAGACCAGTGTTAGTTAACCAGAGCCAACCCTGACTTTCACAATCACGTCCGCCGCCCTTTCTCCTCTTCTTCGTTATCATGGTTGGTCAATATGTACCCTTATCCTTCTGGTTTACTTGGGCCCCAATAAGAAATAAATTAATATGTATGCCTCATAGCGCCAGGGATTTTAGATGGCAATGTGCTGTTGGAAAAATGTAGGTCTGTGGCTTTTAGCAGAGAATGAATGACAGATGGATAATTTATGATGGTCCTCGAGACCTGAACTATAATTATGAAGTATTTCTAGGTATATATTCAGGATGCAAAGTGTAAGGAACCCAGAGCAAATGTTAATTTATTACTGACAGCTGTATATAATAATATATCACGTCTTTTCATGTTACATTCCTTCTGACTTACATCAAGCAATCTTTTCATTCATTAATAAAATCAAGTCTTGCCATTATTCTTAATCATGAAGCCCCATCCTGAACCCAGAGGACTCCTGTCATTAAACTCCATGCTTCCATATACCAGTCATCTGAAGCTCAATAAAAGGATAAATTGAACTTCTTGTTTTACAAGCAAAGTGAAAACATCAGAAAGACGGAACCCACTTTCTCACAGTCCCACGAGCGCTAAGTAGCAAAGTCAGGGACAATTTTTGGGTTTATTTTTCTCAGCTCGCACTACCACATCCTTTTTTTCCTTTTAGCTCTCTTGCCTCCTCTCACCCTTCCACAGTCTTTCCTTTTTTTGAGGCAGTATGTTTTTTAAAGGTCATGATAAAAATTACAGCTTAAAGAAATACGGGCCACACGTCTCGTCCAATTTTCTGTGCTGTGCCAAAGACTTACATGATTAATCCCTTCAAAAGAAATCTAATCTAATCTTATCACATCAAAGACGAGGCGTCCTTCATAAGTACTGTGGCTGGAAAGAAGTAGGTCTTCCTCCAGTTTCAACTGGTTCGATGTCTCATTCGGTTTGCAACCAGTCATCACCTTGGCAACTTTCTCGGGGCACCGTCTGTATCGTTCCCAAAATGTAAGCAGTGCTCCAGTTCAACTTGTAAAGCACTATGCATCATCAGGCTCCCTGGTCACTTTAGGAGATACAGAGACCCATGATACTGGTAGAAGAAGCGAAACCTTTAACCTCATCAACTAATTAATGGCCCCAAAGTAAAATAACAAGGTGTGAGGAGGGATTCAGTTACTGGGTCATCTCTCATCTGGAGGCGGAATCAGATTCCATTGAATAGGCACTAGATAACTGAGTAAGCAGGTTTCCTATCTACAACACTACATCTTACTTGGATTGTTTAATTAAATCATGATAAATAACACTGTGGCAGGTGAAAGGTGCTGAGAAGAGTTTAGGTGTGATGTCCACAAGTTCAGTGGAACTACATCTGAACGCCTTTGCATTCTTCTGACTTAAAAAGGTTGACTGTAATTTCCTGGAGAGTTCTTTTCTAAGAAACAGAAATACTGAGGTTCTGTGTTCCAGGCTTTTTGAAGTTTTCTTGGTTTTCCTATCAGATTCTGCATCGTATACCTTCTCAGTCTTCAGGAATGAAGGTCTCAATTTTTTCATCATCATTTTTTTCTGCCTATAATGATTTCTGCCTAATGGCTCTGGCTGTTCCAGGTACATCAGAGTAGGGAGGGGGTATCAGTGGCTGTGTCATCCAGCAGTAACAAACAGATTTCTCAGAGAACTAAAATTAGAATTACCGTTCCACCCAACAATCCCACTACTGGGTGTATACCCAAAGGAAGATAAATCATTCTACCAAAAAGACACCTGCACTCATATATTTACTGAAGCACTATTGACAATTGCAAAGACATGTAATCAACCAAAGTGCCCAACAACCGTAAAATGGATAAAGAAAATGCAGTACATAGCCAGGTGCAGTGGCTCACACCTGTAATCCCAGCACGTTGGGAGGCCAAAGCAGGTGGATCACCTGAGGCCAGGAGTTCGAGACCAGCCTAACCAACACGGAAAAACCCTGTCTCTACTAAAAGGACAACATTAGCTGGGCATGGTGGTACGTGCCTGTAATCCCAAGTACTCGGGAGGCTGAGGCAGGAGAATTGCTTGAATCTGGGAGGTGGAGGTTGTGGTGAGCCGAGATCGATCATGCCATTGCACTCCAGCCTGGGCAACAAGACTGAAATTCCATCTCGGAAAAAAAAAAAAAAAAAAAAAAAAGAAAGAAAGAAAGAAAGGGAAGGGGAGAGGGGGAGGGGAGGGGAGGTGAAACTAGGATTGTTTGTGCCAATAGCCCATCTTTCTTGTTTGTTCTCCCTTTGAACACTTTGTATTTCTGATTTTCCTTGATTGTTTTTCCTTCCATCCTTCTATGCTAGCCTCCTGCTCAGTCTCTCACCTTTCATTGAAAACAAAATTACTCAACATTTTATTTTTACTTCTTCATAGCTATTTGGTCTAATTGGAATAGCAGAATTATAACTTTGCCGCCAGGCGTGGTGGCTCACGCCTGTAATCCCAGCACGCTGGGAGGCCAAGGTGGGCAGATCACTTGAGGTCAGGAGTTCGAGACCAGTCTGGCCAATGTGGTGAAACCCTGTCTCTACTACAAATACAAAAATGAGTCGGACATGGTGGCGTATCCCTGTAATCCCAGCTCCTGGGGAGGCTGAGGCAGGAGAATAGCTTGAACCCAAAAGGTGGAGATTGCAGTGAGCCAAGATCATCCCTCTGCACTCCAGCCTGGGTGACAGAGTGGGACTCCAACTCAAAAAAAAAAAAAAAAAAAAAAAAAAATCTGACTTTGTTGGTTTCCTACCCCCAAATTCAGATGAATTTGTACCCTAATATACAGTAACAGGAATGATCAGCCTGTCTGATTCTAAATTTTGTTGGATCTTCCTCCCAGGACAGTGGACAGCCGAGCCAGCTGTAAAGGCCTCTCAAAGATCTGGAGTAGAGGTGTCTCACCACATTCCATGACCAGAACCTTCAGTCTTACTACCTTGCTCATGTCCGCAGCCCACCTGCTGAGTCCAGACCAGAGCACCATGCTGCATAGTTCCTAATATAGCAAAACTATACAGCATTTTTGGTGAAATTGGCTGTAATGCTTCACTCCGTCCCTTTTTCACTGTTAGCAGGCGAACCACCCTGGAATCTTTCATAACACAGATCCGAATGATAAACACCGTGGTGCCCTCGGAGGGCTGAGGTTGTGTAACTGGGTCTGATCCTACAAACCTGACAATTCTGAATCTCTCAAGCAACAAGATTTCCCAGAGTCAGCTCTGGCCCTTAACAGGCACCACTTAAAGCCAAGCCGTGAGCCTGGCTAGGACCGCTACATTTTAGCCAAGAACACCTCAAAATGTACAGCGCTACCAAGAGAACTAATACAAATCCAGAAGCCAGGCTAAAGGAAAAAAAAAAAAAAAAAGTCAATGTCCTTTGTTGAAAGCCAATTGCGGAGTGAGTGGGGTGATGAGGCTAGCCCACAGCGGATTTCGGTGACGTGGGGAGATGCCAAAGTGAATACACGGTGACTTCTAAACCTAGACGTCTGAAAGGGGCCGTGAGGGCCAGGCAACTGGGCCCGAAACCGGGCCGGGAGCCGGGGTTTGCAAGAAGGTAAACCCGCTGGAGCGCCTCCCACGCGCAGGTCCGGCCCCACCGGCCCGGAATGCCCGTGGGCGGGGCCTGAGTCTCGCCCCGCCCCTGCTGCCCGCCATTCGGGTCACCTGACCCACTCGCGGCTCACGTGATCCGTCCCCAGCGCCGCCATTTTGGAGCTCCGGATGAGGAGGGGGAAAGCGGGGGAAAAGAGGGAAAAGAGCCGGGAGAGAGGTGGGCAAGGACGAGGGCGAGGGCACGGCCGGGTCCTGGCTGGCCAAAGGAGGCTCGCGGAAGCAGCAGCCGCCGCCTGACCGCAGGTACCGCGTCCCGGGGCCGCCCCTCCGCCCGCTGTTAGCGCCGCCGCCAGCCATGTGCATCCTCCCCTCAGGCCTCTGCCGGCGCTCGCTTCCTCCTCTGCTGGCCGACCCCCGCCCGGTGCTAGCCACATGCCCCAAGTTCCGTGTCCCAATTCTGTCGTCTGTGCAGCAAGGCCTGCGGAGACCCCGGGCTTGCCCTGCAGCTGGGGGTGGGGGGTACCTGCTGCTCCGCGCATACTGTCACCAGCCCCGTGCGCCCGCGGGCCCGCCCGCAGGCGTTGCTTCCTTCTGCAGACGTGAGATCGCTTAGGCCAGCGGGGATGGAGCCAGCCACGATGTTCTCACAGCATCTTCTGATTTCTTTTCCAAGCCCCCTCATTCCCCATCATCTTAGTCCTTTAGCCAAGTGCGTGGTGTAGAAAAAGCTAGTAGAGAGACGCAGTGCTGGTCTTTGCATTTATTACCATCCTCTTCAATAGAATGTCTCCAGAGATCACGGAGACCACTGGGGAAAGTTCCCACCTCTTAAGACCTGGGGGCACCGGAATGAATGGTTTGTTAGAAGGCCGGGTGATTAATAAGGTGGAGGCTACTTTCCCAACCCCAAGGCGGTCTTTTTAAGTTTCTGCAGTGGGCTGTAATTTGCTATCAGTCTGCATCGCTCTTCTCAGGCAATTACTGGATTTATCACCTCTTTTGAGTTTGCACTTTCTCCAGTACTGCGCTCTCACTCAGTGAGGTTGCGTTATTGATTAAAAGAAAGCCTGGCCCTTCATTCCTTTACCTCACTAACTCGTTGAAAATTAACTTCAGGGGAGGCCTAAAGATGTTTTTTTCTGCCCTGACGGTGAACTGTTTTATTTAACCATGATCGATAAGATCGTAGTTGCATTCTAGGTGAAAAGAATAAGCATTTTTTTATCTTTTAGATTTATTCTAGCCAGTATAAGAAACAGTGGCAAAGAAATATAGGTAGGACCAGAGTAGGAAACTGCATTGGAAGATATATAGGTCACACCACTGTGTCATGTCTTTGTATGCCGCTCTTCTACCTACTGTGCTTGCAAAATTTGCAGAATCACTCGTTAGATTGTATTTTTAGTTTAGATTAAAATAGCTATGTGCAATTTATTGTTCCATTCTCATTAGAAAATGATGTCAGTAAAACCAAGTGTTGAGTCCAGTACGTAAATTCTGAGGTAAAACAAAATAGACAATTATTGGGAGAAGTTTCCAGAGCTAATTTTTCCTAACTTCTGCAAAATCCTCAAGTCTGCTTGTTAGATAAATTATTTAAATTTGCATTATGTAATGAGATTGCATGAACATTCCTCTGAATTTCTTTTTACATGGAATATTGAGAAATTTTTTGCTGCCAAAAAAATTCATTACTTTGTTTCACCAAGAAAGAGAAATGTTTGATACTATATACTTTCGTTCTTGGTCACAGCTGGATTTTGAAGATTGATCCAAGGGACTGTATTAATTTCAGGAATTGATTTGAAAGACACTGGCTCTGCCCCTTAACAGCCATGTAACCTTGGGTAAGTCACTTCAACCACACTGAGTGTTTCCTTATTTATAAGACTGTATAACACCCACGTAGCCCATCCCAAAGAGTTATGAGGATTAGATACCACTAATGTGTTTGATACAGCGTAGCTGTAAGGAGCTGTTATTCTTTTCAGTATTGATATTTTATACATTTTTGTTCTCATTGAGAATTAAAAGGAGAATTGGTACATTAGAGAAAGCATGGTTTTAGAATCAGATTGGCCTGGATTCCTGTTCTTAAACCAGTTACCACTTTATGCCTATGAGTTCCAGGTTCCTCATCTGCAAACAAAAAACAAAACACCATAATTTGAATATTACACAAAATCTACATAGGCACGACTCCCTAGACTTGCAGCTCATGGGCGAGGATTTCCTCAGTCATTTTTGTAGACTCCAGCTCCCTGGTTGGCACATTATTGGTGCTCAATAAATGATAATAAATCTGAATATTGGTTAATGTTAGTTAGACCTTATGTCTTCATTGCAGCTGCCAAATTAGAATGTTCTCTCAGGCTATGTGCCAATTAAGAAACTCCAGACTATGAAACTCATATACTTGTGATATTTATACTCATTTTTTTCTTAGAGGTAATTAATAATTACCTTGAGCTCAGAAGATTTTAAATCAAATTAACTATAGCCAATATAGTGAAGTAAATCTATAAATAATGTGTAAGCAGCTTCCAGGTAACTTTATAAACAGTTTATAATTCAGGAACCTGAAAGTTCATCTAGCTTCACGGTCTTGTTTTACATCCGAGCAATCTAAAACTCAGAGACAGTGACTTGCCTAAGGTCACACAGCTAATTGAAGGCACTTTAGGGGAGGGACCCTTGGACTTAATTGCCTGCCTTCTTTTGGCTGAAGCAAAATAAGTGTGTCATATTTTAGAATTACGATAATCTGGAATAATGGGGAATTTAGTGGCCATTACTTCTATAGCACTTTTTTTTTTTTTTTTCCGGTTTCGGTATACCACAAAATTTTAGAAAAAACATTCTCATTCTGAAAGAGAAGGTTCTTTTGTATCATATTGTACTGTCTTTGTATATACACAGAAAATTATAGCCTTTTCTCCAGGCCCACATAAATTGTTCAACTTGATTTTACTCATGATCACCATACTGCTGTAACTGTAAGGAACTAATTAGATACCCAGATAAACCACACAGCAAATTATAAGGAAATAAAGACAACCGAAATAATTTGGCTCTTAACTTTTCATGAGCAAGATATTAATTAGAAGCGTTTGTGGAAGACTGTTGTCAAGGAAAGATTTGAGAGACTTGGTGGAAAGGGTTATGGAACTTTTCTGGTTTGGGTTATAACTTTTGTTTACTTATCTGTAACAGTTTAAAATATTTACTCTAACACTGTTATGTCTAAGCCTTCCAAACAAGAAATCTCCTGTTTTGCTAATGCCTGTAGTCTTCTTTCCTCCTAGTGAACTTTCCTATTCAGCCATATTGATCTTTTCACTCACCCCTAGATAGCGTGCTTATTCTCACTTCTAAAAATACAGTAATGTCATGGCTGCTTTTCTTGTCACTGCTACCCTTGTGGCAACTTGTATCAGCAGTATTCCAAGGAAGCAAATGGCATGTTGAAATGAGGGTAATTCAAGGAAGGTATATTTACAAAGATATTAATAATAAAGGTGTTGGACTTAAATAAGCAAACCACAGCAGAATGCAGTTATTTGGAGCTAGCTGCATCAGGAGAGGGAGAGGTATCAGAATCAGAAGAAGGCTCTTGTAGAGCAACCTGACTGGAGAGAAATAACCTTCTGTTGAGAAACATGGCCAATCCAAGGTGACCTAGAGATTGTGAACCAGGACAATGAATGTTCTGCTCTCACTCTGCTACCTCCCTCTGATCTGTCTTCATTGGCTGACCTCAACCAGAAACCAGAGGGCAGGGGAGCCTAGTGATGTAATCCCTCCTGAGACAAAGCAGAATGGAGAGGAGGATACAGTGAGCCTAGAGGGCAAACAGATGATGTCTGGCCTGCTGCCCATCCTTCGGGAACCAGTGGACATCTTACCTCTCCGTGAAGCTTTTGCTTACCTTGCTAGCCCAAAGGAGCTCTTCAGTCTCAGGATTTTGTCATTGACTGTTGCCTTTTCTTTTACCTTATGTACCACTGCATTGTTAAAAGCTTTGACTTTTTAACTTCCTAATGTTTGCCTTATCCACTCAACTCAGTTTTAAACTACAAGTATTAAGAATTTAAAATTTTTCTGTTTGTCTTGATACTTTGCCTTGCGCCTCGTATGTAACAATTTTTACACACACACACATATTTGTATTTCTGCGTTAGTGGTCTAAGTAAAATTTCTGTGCATGTACATAAATAGAAAGAACAATGAATTCCTAGGTACTTATCATTCAACTTCAATCACGTAATTAGTCATCGTTACTTTATTCTCATTCTGTCCACCCCACCACTGCAGTATCACCATGGTAGTTGTTTTAGAGCTGTGTTTATGTTGATCTCTTGGAGGCCAGGGAGAGTATGCAGATTGTCCTAGTTTATGTTGTCATTATTGAGCCACTGACATTGTAGATAGACTCCTTATTTCATCTCTCGTTCAGATTTACTTCACTTCACGTGCAGTCCCATATATATGTATTTCTGCATTAGTGGTCTAAGTAAAATTTTTGTGAAAATGTGAAGAGCTGGCCTTACAGTAACTTCCCTTCTGTGTATCCTTTATTATCAGCTATTTATCTAGCTTTTTTTTTTTTTAACAGAGACTCGTTTTTATTAGATTAACCTGTGCATTGATTTTGCATGTGGACCCAACCTGGTTTTTCAGGTGTTTCTTGATGTATTTTATGTTGTCATATCTGTTTTATAGCTGCCATTACTGTATTTATCCCCAAATGTATGCAGCCTTTAAAATGAGATACTTACATAAATGTTCAGGGAAAATTGGAGCATCTGCTTCAAATTTCCATTAGCTCTTAATGCCTAAGCAGACACAGCTTTAAAAATTTGAATGTTTTGTCAGATTCTTTTGTATTAGTCTTCTTCTTGAATTAAGATGAACTCCTCCTCCTCTTCATTTCACTTTCTTTTTAAGGTACACACTGAAATATCCACAGGGAGCAATTTGCACTGGTCTCTGTCACTTCTCTTATATCATTAAGTAGAAGAAAGATAACATGAGTCACCTTTGTAACCCTATGGGTGTGCAGTCTCTTGAACAAACAGTCGCTTGTTAACCTCCAGATGATTAGTCAGCCTACATGGGTGTTACATTTCATGGGGAAAGAGACCTTGGATCTACGGTAGAGAGCCATATCGTGTCCAGAAAATTAAATGTTTGAGGACTTCTATTATTAAACTTATTATTTAACCAATTTGCATTTAACCATTGAACTGAAAGAAATAAGCCTTAAGTTAATCACCTTAAAGGGAAATCAGTAGTCACATGAAGAGCCACAGCTCCCCTTGGCAAAAAAATGCAGAATTCTGAGACAATAAAGTGACTTAGGAAGTCACAAAAGGGTTTTTCTAAGGAAACAAATTGTTCCCCCATTGGTCTCTTCTTTAATGACTTACAGCTGTGTATAGAGATCTAAAAAACTTTCATTCCTTCTACCTGAGAAAGATAAAACAGAACTAGTCTTTTGAGAGATTGTTTAAGGGAGAGTGGCTGAAGGATCACGGGCCTTTGGGAGCCAGGGTAGGTGTCACTGTTGGAATGGCCATGGAATACCTCTTCTGCTGTGAGGGCAGTTAGAGACACTTAGCGGCAAAGAGAGAAAAGCTGATCCCATAGGGCAGAGTAGTAAGAAGAAGGGAAGCAGTAGTACTGAAGAAGCCAAGAGTAAAATGTTTGCATTTTTGCCTGATGTGGACCGAGATCTAGAAAGCTGGCTTGCCAGAAGGAGTAGAAAATGAGGAAGAAAAGCCAAAGCTTCTGCCCAGAGTTGTGGGCGACCTGGCGCTGAAGCTGGTCAGAGCACTGTGTGGGGGAGAGGGGAGGGCGGGGCCTGGCAGGACATTAGGTGTCATCTTGGCAGGGGCTGAATTGATTCAACCATGCAGGGAAGAACAGCCATGATTCACCACCTAAAATAAGAATTCAGAGCCTGGGACTGAAGTTTAAGAATAGTGTGGTCTTTGGTCTATAGCTAGTGCCACTAAAAATTTTGTTGGCATTTATTGAATGTTGTGAGTAAGATTCCAGAATGCACCTAAAATGTGGAAAAACAAAACTTGTTGCTGGAAAAAAGCCTAAACTTAAAAATGTGATCCAAGTCAACAAATTAGTCTCACTTTAAGCCAAAGGAAATGTTTGAAATGAAAGTACTGCCAGGAAATATAAAGAGTATTCTAGACTTAGACAGAAAGATTTATGGGTATTTTATGTTTAGTGACTTCCTCAGCCATAATGCATTATTAGAGCAAACAGATAACCCCTTCTAAGGACTCTGTCATAATCTGGACCTAAAACAAGTGGGATATCAATTTTTTCTTTCTCTGATGTCCCTTACCCTTTCAGGAAAAAAATGTAGATACATATGTGGATATGAGTAATAGTTGACCACTAATATGACCTCTAGAAAAAAACCACAGCATAATTTGTGGTTTCTCTTCAGGAAGATAAAGGAAGTAAAAGTAGGAACTAGATTATTGCTTTTATTTAGTTTCGTATATATAGTACTTTCCCAAATTTACTATGCCCTATACAAGCTACATGACTATAGTTTCACAATTCCAGAGATTTGGGGAGAAAAAAACAAATTTGTGATTTTAGTAATAAAACTGCAGCTGTATTTGGTATAAGAAATAGTCTCTCAAGATTTGCATCAGTCACTGGCTTTACAGAGTGATGTTTCACAGTAACTGGAGGGGGTTTCACATTCCTTGAGAATGGCCGTGCTCCTTTAATCAAAGAATAGGAGCCTCTCTTTCTTTCTTTCCTTCTTTCTTGGAGAAAAAGATAATCATTCCCAAAGAAAAAAGTGATGGAGGGGAGTATCTTCATCATTAGTCTTGATAGAAGATTGCATTCTAAAGAGAAATTCTAGCCAATTTAAATCTATACTAGGGATAGCCAGGTGTGCAGATGTGGAGCTTTCTGCTTAGAAAATACTTAGACACTAAGATTTGCTTATATTTCCTAAATTACATGCCTATAATTATCCTGTAACCTGGCGTTTTTCTGTTTTACATTATCCTTTTTAGATATGGAAGGAAGTAGCAGTGTTGCCATGTTGGTGCCAGATATTGGGGAACAGGAAGCTATATTGACTGCTGAAAGTATCATCAGTCCTTCACTGGAAATTGATGAACAAAGAAAAACTAAACCAGATCCATTAATCCATGTTATCCAGAAGTTAAGCAAGATAGTGGAACATGAAAAGTCACAAAAATGTCTTTTAATTGGAAAGAAACGCCCACGTTCAAGTGCTGCAACACACTCTCTTGAAACCCAAGAGCTTTGTGAGATTCCAGCTAAAGTAACCCCGTCACCTGCTGCTGATACTGGAAGAGCTGAGATGTCACAAACAAATTTTACGCCTGACACTCTTGCCCAGAATGAAGGGAAGGCTATGTCTTATCAGTGTAGCCTTTGTAAGTTTCTATCGTCATCTTTTTCCGTGTTAAAAGATCATATTAAGCAGCATGGTCAGCAGAACGAAGTGATACTAATGTGCTCGGAGTGCCATATTACATCTAGAAGCCAGGAGGAACTTGAAGCTCACGTGGTGAATGACCATGAAAATGATGCCAATAGCCACACCCAATCCAAAGCCCAACAGTGTGTAAGCCCCTCCAACTCTTTATGTCAGAAAACCACAGAAAGAAATAATGAAACCATTCCAGACATCCCAGTAAGTGTGGACAATCTGCAGACTCAGACTGTCCCAGCTGCATCTGTGGCAGAAATGGGTAGGAGGAAATGGTATGCATACGAACAGTACGGCATGTATCGATGCCTGTTTTGTAGTTATACTTGTGGCCAGCAGAGAATGTTGAAAACACATGCTTGGAAACATGCTGGGGAGGTTGATTGCTCCTATCCAATCTTTGAAAATGAAAATGAGCCCCTAGGCCTGCTGGATTCTTCAGCAGCCTCTGCGGCTGGTGGGGTCGATGCAGTGGTCATTGCTATTGGAGACAGTGAACTGAGTATCCACAATGGGCCATCAGTGCAAGTGCAGATTTGCAGCTCAGAACAGTTATCATCTTCATCTCCTTTAGAACAGAGTGCAGAAAGGGAAGTACACCTAAGTCAGTCAGTTACCCTGGACCCCAGTGAGGAAGAAATGCTGGAAGTGATTTCTGATGCAGAGGAGAATTTGATTGCTGATAGCCTCCTTTCATCGGCACAAAAAATCATCAGCAGCAGCCCTAATAAAAAAGGTCATGTTAACGTGATAGTGGAGCGATTGCCAAGTGCTGAAGAAACCCTTTCACAGAAGCGCTTCCTCATGAACACTGAAATGGAAGAGGGGAAGGACCTATGCCCAACAGAAGCCCAGATTGGGCACGAAGGAACAGATGATGTTTATCGTGCTGATAAATGTACTGTTGATATCGGGGGATTGATCATAGGCTGGAGCAGTTCAGAGAAGAAAGATGAGTTAATGAATAAAGGCCTGGCTACTGATGAGAATGCCCCACCAGGCCGGAGAAGGACAAATTCTGAGTCTCTTCGACTGCATTCATTAGCTGCAGAAGCCCTCGTCACAATGCCTATAAGAGCTGCAGAGTTAACAAAAGCCAACCTGGGGCACTATGGGGATATAAACCTTTTAGATCCAGATCCTAGTCAAAGGCAAGTAGATAGTACATTGGCAGCATATTCAAAAATGATGTCGCCACTTAAAAACTCTTCAGATGGATTAACTAGTCTTAACCAAAGTAACTCTACCTTGGTAGCACTCCCAGAGGGTAGGCAGGAATTGTCAGATGGGCAGGTTAAGACAGGCATCAGCATGTCCTTACTCACCGTCATTGAAAAATTGAGAGAAAGGACAGACCAAAACGCTTCAGATGACGACATTTTGAAAGAGTTGCAGGACAACGCCCAGTGCCAACCCAACAGCGATACGAGTTTGTCCGGAAACAACGTGGTGGAATACATCCCGAATGCTGAACGACCCTACCGTTGCCGCCTGTGTCACTACACAAGTGGCAACAAGGGCTACATCAAGCAGCACTTACGAGTCCATCGACAGAGACAGCCTTATCAGTGTCCTATCTGTGAGCACATAGCCGACAACAGCAAAGATTTGGAGAGCCACATGATCCACCACTGTAAGACAAGAATATACCAGTGCAAGCAGTGTGAAGAATCCTTCCATTATAAGGTAAGCATTGGTTCAGGGAGTCTTTCAGAGGACCTTAGCATCTTAGAGTGAGAAGGGAACTTTGTAGATCTAGTCCAACCACCTCGTTTTATTGATAAGGAAACCAGGTCCCAGAAAAGTTTGACAATTTGTCCAACAGGGTCCCAACTTAATCAGTATTAAAGTTGGGACTGAAATCTAGGTCTTTCGAATTTCTGCCGTAGAATCTTTTTCCCTGCCTGCTGCCGCCTCAACAGCCTGTGTGTTTTAGTGTGTATAGTTCATTTAAAGTGTTGATTTTCTGTTGCATGAGAATTACCAGGGAGTGTACAGTAGAGTCACATCATATACACATTTGACTTACATGGATTTAACTGTACATCATCACGGCAAAAAAAAAAAAAAAAAAAAAAAATCATATTTTTCATCTTACATGGCCCCAAAATACCAGGCATTCGCTTTGGCTTCTACACAGTCAATAGTGACTTGTATCGTTGCAGATGGAAAATGGGCTACACTGGACCTATGGCTGTGTTGTGGAAGTAGAGCCATGTGTGTCATGTTTTATGAGCAGGGTAAAGGACTTTCAAGAGTTATTTTGACTGTCTGATTTTCATCTTAAGTGCTGATCTTACCAAAACTAACATCCCATGTGACATGCTGTTCTTTTATAAAGGAAACTTGGATTCATTGAGTCATTGGTTAAGAACTTTTCTTCTTCAGTGGGCCAGGTGAATCCTTGAAAATGTTTTACAAAAGTTATCCTAAGAGCTAACTAGGATGTAGACTTTTTCCCTTAGGTTAATGAGAGTTGGGGTCCAGCTGTGGTGAAAAGGTAATCAGGAATAAGAAAGCTCTGGAGTCTGAGGTTCACTGCTTCTCAGATTACACTCATGAAATTCCAAGTAGCACATCCACATAGGCTGCAAAGGCAAGAAGTCTCCAGGAGTTTCTTTTGCTGCTGAGCTCTTGGTTCATGGAAATGGAAGTAGAAGAGACCGGATGTCCTTGGAGGAGCACTTCCAATTAGGTCATTTACACATTTTGATGTTTAAGTGAAAAATCAGGAGTCCGGTGATTACTGATTAGATTTATTTTTGTGAAGTTGCATTATTCTGAACACTCTGCTCGTTCCTCTCCTGGCCATGCCAGTGGTTCGGTAAACATGGACACACCATGCATAATCACCTAGAAAGCAGTGACTTCCTTTTGGAGAATATGAAGAGAGGAACTGCCCTTTGCATGAGATTATGATTTGCTAATGTACTTCTTTCTATAAATTGTCAAATGTGTCAAATGATCTTTTAGCAGACTTAATTTGAAAATATGGTCATGCGTATTTAAAATACAATAATGTTGTAGGTACTAGGCCATGAAAGCAATGAACCCATTCTTCTACAGCCTCCTAAGATTTGGACATGTATATTTATTGAAAATTACATGTTTCTTTTCATCTTTCAGAGTCAATTGAGGAATCATGAGAGAGAACAGCACAGTCTTCCAGATACCTTGTCAATAGCAACTTCTAATGAGCCAAGAATTTCCAGTGATATAGCTGATGGAAAATGTGTCCAGGAAGGTATCTGTGTATTTTGCTATGCAGGCTACAGTGACTCGCACATGACGTAAAAGTGCCCTTAGTTGTCACAGTTGGTTATTTTCAGGGCAAAAGCCTGTATTCTCCTGTTTTTGTAGCATGGATGCAAGTGAATCTGATCTCTGATTCTAAGGAAATGCCAAGTACTGAATGAAGCAGATGATTACTAGGTCCTAGGTGAGAAGCCATAGATTAGTAACGATTCATCTTCAGCTGTGTAGGTAGATACTGCAGTTGAAACTTAAGAGCCCCTCTGAAGGTGATGTACCAGCAAGCCAGAAAAGCTGCAACGTGGAAGCACGCCTCCCCTGCCTCTCTCAGCACCAGTTGACCTACTGAGAACAGAGCTTTTGCAGATGGTGGGCCCCTACCCCAGACTTTAACTGGGCTTCCCGCTGTGATCTTATTCTTACCCAAGTATGACTGCCAGATTTCATCTGCATTATTTAAAAAAAACACACACACAGACACACAAGATCTTTTTATGTACTAGTTAGGTAGCAGTCGACCGAGTTTCTGGTAATAGGAATATTAGAATTAAAAGATTTAATTAGAGTTCCATGAAAAGGCGGATGCCACATCCGGAGAATTAAGGAGAAAGTGTACTAAGCTGTGCCGCTTTGCTTCGGCTCACTTAAATTGATATACTTTAAATGTCTCCAGTGTGGCACATAATGTTTATGGGAGATAAAACATATTGGGGTGACTTTCCTTTTTCGATTTGCTAAGAATTAAAGTTAGAAACGACTATAGAGTGAAATGTTTTACCATAATGTTTCATTAAATTATACCCCAGAAAGCATAACTGATTCTAGAATGTTTCTGAAAGAACTGATTTTGACACCACTGTAGCACCAAAATTCTCATGTCAAACAGATGTCATCCCTGTAAAACTCTCCAAAACAAAAGGAGTTTATGACATAGCATCTGTTTCTGCACTAGATGGCTGAGCTAAAACAGTTTTGTTTCCTTTTTACAGAATATCCCTAAATGCCTCCTTTTATTTTAATTCATTATGTTTCCGTATCCCCTTTAAAGGAGGCATTGAAACGTTTGATATGATTGGACCATAAATCCCTAATGAAGGGATAAAGTAAATACTACTCAGTAGCACCACCTGCAGTTAATATCAGTGTTGGAGATGTCTTTTTTAGCACTGTCCTGAAAAGCAGGCATTTCAAACTATCCAAATGAGTTAACAGATTAAAATTGGTAATTTTAATAAAAAGATTAAAGTGTCAACTCAAAATTAAAATAACCACTTCAGATTTTACAGTATGAGTGTATGTTCACTAATTTTATGTTGCAGCATCTTTTCTTTGTGGCTCATGCCTTTTTCTTAGGGTGAAATATATGGATTTTTAAATTGCCTGCCATGCCTCTTTTCCCCCCACCCGGCTCTGTTTGCTTTTTTTCTCTCAGGACTATAGCAGTTCAGATGGCTGCATACTTAAACCTGGATGGATACTTTATTAATTCAGTATTAGATATTTTGAAATTTGGTTGTCAGGCCAAGGAGTAAATTTTTAGCTCACAGAGAAAGTAATAATAATTCATGCTTTGTCAAAACTTCTTTAACCATTTAGTAAACTTATTAAACAAGAAGAGAGAGATGTGCCTCTGTGATCCCCAGTCTCTGCCATTATAGTAGCACAGATACCTTAGGGCATGTTTTAGCTTGACATTTCCTTCACCAAAAGGCATGGCCTGCCTGTCCTGAGCTAGATACTGTGTTAGTTGCTGAGAGTACAGTGAAAGGCATCAGTGCCCTTTAGGAACCCACCTCAGTGAAGAAGACAGAAGGAGGCTGATGGGTATGTCAGCCAGTATCACAGGAGCTCAAATGAAGCCGCAAGCAGAACCGTTTCATAGGGTGTTACTCCATGAAACCTAATTAAATTGTTTTTTATTGGAAACCTATAATTTGCCAAGCCCTGGGATTCAGTCTAAACAAAACAGGCAGATTCTTATCCTCAGGGAATAGACAGCTTCCTGACAGGGCAGAGATTTTACCCAGACATGCAGGTAAAGTACAGACTTGCTAAAGGAAAAATATAGAACTTACCAAACTGTGCTGTGAGGTTCTAGCATTTCCCGTTTGTAGATGAGAAAACTGAGACTTCAAGAGGCAAAATAATTTACCCATGATCATACTGGTAGAAAGTGGCAGAGCGAGGACGAAGCCCAAATTTTTGAACTTTAAATCCAACATTCTTTCCATTGGAAACAGTTGCTTGAAGTAGCACAGGCTCTCATTCCGTGCTATATTAAGTTTTTCCATCTGTCAGTTTTATTAGTTGTCATTGATCTGTAATATTTCTCACACAAAACCATTATCCAATATTTCACACTTCATTTTTTAGGGATTTTTTTTAAAAACTGTATTTGGAACAGTGCCATTTATAATCAAGTCCAAGATTTTAACCTACCAATTAAGAGCAATACTTAGATTATAATTATGATTAGTGTGTATATTAATGCTATAGATTTATACCACGAAATTAGGACATTTTGTTCTGCCTGGCAGTAGTTACTAGCAAAAGAAAATTTCAATTTTAGGAAGTGTAAATTTAACTTAAGGATTTTCTTTGTTGAAATTTCAATGTGGGTTTTCTTTTGTATAATACCACAAATTTTACTTTTATGCAGCGTATACAGGTGTTCTGCCTAAGCTTTCTTTCTGCCAAGAGACACAGAGTTCTTCCTGCTCTGCCTTTTTCTTGAGCTTCCATGCTTGCTCTGTTTCTGAGTATAAAGCAGTCAGAGTGTGAATAGCCTGTGGACTGTATGCTGACAGACAGACAAGTACATGGAGCATTGACCGTCTTCAGGAAATCGTTTTATATGAACTAGTCACTCAACTTGTGTTGACATAAGCTTACCCCAACTTGAATTACTCAGCCCTGTTGTTGCAGAGTGAGTTTAGTAACATGGCTTCTTCTCATTGGATCCATGTTTCCTGCGTTTTGGAGAGCTGCATATTCATGTCACTTATAACCTTTGTCTCTGTCACCTGTCAGTTAACTAGATAGAATTATATACATCGCATAGCACTTAATAATTTGCGGCTACTTTACTTTTCATGTCACACTGGTAGCTGACATTTAGTGGTAAACAAAGAAAATGCACTGGGTGAAAAGGCCTTAGGCTTTTTTGGGAATGGAATGGGGCAGGGAGAGATTTCATGCTCTGTTGCACAGGCTGGTCTCCAGCTCCTGGCCTCAAGTGATCCTCCCACCTCGGCCTCCCAGAGTGCTAGGATTACGGGCATGAGCCACCACATCCAGCCAGGCTTTTTATATTGAGTTTGTTATATATGCTTCATAGCTATACTTCATAATATTGGATTATCGTATTATGACTTGTTGGCAAATCAGTATTTCTTTAAGACAGTATATCCAATACTGATTAGAGTAACACCTATTTAGTAATACAGATCAACAGGGTGTCTCTGATTAATTTAGCTCCTACACATTCAGCCTGAAGCAAGTTCGTTAGGATTTAGAATACTGTACATGTTTATGCAAAAATCCTCCCAACCTATCTGTGTTTACAGGCCATAGGATATTCAGTTTATATCTCCTGATAGTGTATATGCAGGAAAACCTATAAAACCACTTCAGACTTGTTAAAACAGTGAGAAAGCCATGATTGAAATATTAATACAACTGTGTGGTATTAATTTTCATTTGCAATGGAATGTAAATGCTGTCATTTGAATCTTGTCAAAGTCTGCCACTAAAACTCTGAAATACCTTGTCTAGGAAATAAGTCTTCAGTCCAGAAACAGTATAGATGTGATGTATGTGATTATACAAGTACAACTTACGTTGGTGTCAGAAACCACAGGCGAATCCATAACTCTGATAAGCCATACAGGTAAGTGTTATGATTCTAGAATTCTTTTATAGTAAAGAAATAAAATGAAATAATTTAAAATTTATACCGCTTATTGAAACACAGGTTAAGAATGAAGAAATTTTCACTAACTGGTTTTATTTTTTTGATTTTTTAAATATATATATATTTTTTTGAGTTGGGGTCTTGCTGTATTGCCCAGGCTGGAGTGCAGTGGTGTGATCATAGCTCATTGCAGCCTTGAACTCCTGGCCTCAAGGGATCCTCCACATTGACCTCCCAAAGTGCTGAGATTGCAGGCGTGAGCCACTGCACCTCGCTAGTTTTTAAGTCTTATTTGGTTTGTTAAGGAGTGTAAACTTTAAGCTTGAATCTTAGGACAGTAGGCATTTTGTCTAGTTGATATCTAAGAAGTTGTCTTTATCTGTCAGTTTTATGTTTTTATTTCATATGGGTATAAATTTCATAGCAATTTTCAGTGCCTTATAGTTCATTTCAGTAATTTGGCAGTAAGGTACTCAGTATTCCAGCAAAAGATCCTTAAAACTTAAAAGCAGTAAATTATGGCCGGGCGCGGTGGCTCAAGCCTGTAATCCCAGCACTTTGGGAGGCCGAGGCGGGTGGATCACGAGGTCGAGAGATCGAGACCATCCTGGTCAACATGGTGAAACCCCGTCTCTACTAAAAATACAAAAAATTAGCTGGGCATGGTGGCACATGCCTGTAATCCCAGCTACTCAGGAGGCTGAGGCAGGAGAATTGCCTGAACCCAGGAGGCAGAGGTTGCGGTGAGCCGAGATTGCGCCATTGCACTCCAGCCTGGGTAACAAGAGCAAAACTCCGTCTCAAAAAATAAATAAATAAAAATAAATAAATAAATAAATAAATAAAAGCAGTAAATTTTCCTATGAAAGAGTCCATTTTTCAAAATTAAGCTTGTATGTATAGAATAAGTCATTTAATTTTGTTACTTGATTTTTCCCAAAAGCAAATTCAAATATGTATTTCAGAAAATACAGGCATTCTCAGTCAATTCAGATGAGCTGATAAGTAAAAATCATTCTTTCTTAAATAAACTTTGCCTCTTGAGAGTAAACTGCTTGTTGTTTATGTAGAGTCAAGGTGCAGATGTTTTACAGAGTTTGTCCAGCTGTCACTGAACAGTTTGTTCTGTTTGCAGCCACAATGGAATGTCAGGTTCCGACATCAGAGCTAACCTTGTTACTATGACTTGATAGTGCTAGGCCATGGGCATGAACTCTTTCACTCCCTTGTCAAAACTTTTCACGTTTTAACTCTATCCCCAGATTTATAGATATGATACAAGTGAGTATCAAAGGTTATTCTGTTAATCTTATTGAAAACCTGACAGACTGTCATAAAAGGTCATTGTTTAATCCTATAGTGTGGTGATCTATGTATGGTTTTTAACAGTTAATATGTGCTTAATTTTCTAACCAGCAGACTTACTTAGAATCACTCTTCAGACAGTACATCTGTTTGTAGAGTCTTTTTTTTTTTTTTTTTTTGAGACAGAGTTTCACTCTTGTTCCCCAGGCTGGAGTGCAATGGCACAATCTCGTCTCACTGCAAACTCTACCTTCCAGTTTCAAGTGATTCTTCTGACTCAGCCTCCTGAGTAGCTAGGATTACAGGTACCCACCATTACGCCTGGCTAATTTTTGTATTTTTAGTACAGACAGTGTTTCATCATGTTGGCCAGGCTGGTCTCGAACTCCTGACCTCATGATCTGCCCACCTTGGCCTCCCAGAGTGCTGGGATTACAGGCGTGAACCACTGCGCCTGGCCCGTAGAGTCTTAAAACTCTGTGGAAGGTGTTTGACCCCTCAGTACTCAGTGTCTCTATTTATTTTTTCTTTTCTTTTCTTTTTTTTTTTTTTTGAGACGGAGTTTTGCTCCCGTTACCCAGGCTGGAGTGCAATGGCGCGATCTCGGCTCACCGCAACCTCTACCTCCTGGGTTCAGGCAATTCTCCTGCCTCAGCCTCCTGAGTAGCTGGGATTACAGGCACTCACCACCATGCCCAGCTAATTTTTTGTATTTTTAGTAGAGACGGGGTTTCACCATGTTGACCAGGATGGTCTCGATCTCTTGACCTCGTGATCCACCCGCCTCGGCCTCCCAAAGTGTTGGGATTACAGGTGTGAGCCACCGCGCCTGACCCTTTTTTTTTTTTTTTTTTTTTTTTTTGAGACAGAGTCTCACTCTTTCGCCCAGGCTGGTGTGCAGTGGTATGATCTCACTTCACAGCAACCTCTACCTCCCAGGTTCAAGTGATTCTCATGCCTTAGCCTCCCAAGTAGCTGGGACCACAGGCATGCACCATGACTAGCTAATCAGAGACAGGGTTTTGCCAGGTGTTGAACTCCTGGTCTCAGGTGTCCGCCCACCTCAGCCTCCCAAAGTGCTGAGATTACAGATATAAGCCATCATGTCCAACCAGTCTTTTTATTTCAAATATTTTCAAAACTAGAATCTCTAAGAAATTTTTTCACAGAGCATAATGAAGGTCATTATTAACCATAACTCAGTGCCATAAATTACTAAATAAGGAATAATAAGTGGAAGTGAGTATATATCCATTCATGATTTACACTGGGAAATGTTTAGGAGAATGTGATGGAAACAGGGAACACTAGTTTACCTGATAGGAGGAGGAGGCTTTGCCTTCGTGTTTTTGGTGTCCTTGAATTTAGACATGCTGTGCCAGATTCATGTGATAGAGGTAACAAGAAAATAGCATTTCTCTGGGTCCAGAAGTAGATTGTTCTTTGATTCATGGATAAATATTTATTGAGCAAATATTATGCTTCAGGGGCCGTGCTAGGTTCTTGGACTACAGTCATAAAAAAACAGACATCATCTTTGCTCTCACAGAACTTGTAGACAAGCAGTAAGCAAGTAAACCCTCAAATACTTAGAATAAATGTCTGAAAAAGGTTGGTCATTCTGGTTTTGTAGAGGAAGGTTTTACATCTGCTTTATTAGATCTGTCTTGCAGTTTAAAGATTCGTTTTGTTAGCTGTCAGTGTCTCAGGGATGTTTTCTTACATTCTTAAAATACACAGACTCAGGATTTGTTACAGTTGTCCTAGGGTCTTCCTACCAATGGGCAACATCCTATGAGAATCCTCTTTGTGTAACATCAAAGAAGTCTCAGTCTGTTATTTTCCAAATTTATTCACATTCCACTTTGTCACTGGGTTTGGTGTGTTTATGCCTTAGAAAAAAATTCATCATACCACCCTCTTTGTACGTATTACCAGTTTTTCCTCCTATGTCTTATTTTCTAATCTTGTGGCTCTCCTTTTAACCTTCTTTAAATACTCACCATCCTTTGTCTTCATGGGATTTGTGGTCATAGAGCATTATGGATTAACGTGTTCTATGCCAGGATGTTTCAAGGACTTTCTCATTGTCATATACCATGTGCCTTAAGCTGAGCCGGTAAGCATAGGCTTCATAATGTCTGACTTAATCCAGGGATCACAGGAGTTTTTCTGGCTCATTTCATGTCTGCTTCATACAGTTTCGTTACCTAGTGCACTTAACGGTCAAGAGTTTGGACTTCTTTTCTCAGAGTTCCTGCCATATCCTGTGCATTTCTGATTTCCTACATTTCATTATGAAACATGCTTACGAGCAGTGAATTGAATTCTTACAGAGCTAGAAGGCCTTTTTCACAACTTCTAAACTTTGTATAAGGGCACAAAAGGTTTATTTTACTGCGGCTGTTACATCATAGGTTTTCTGTAGTGGTGAAACTGTTCCTTTCTCATGCCTTTGCTTTTTGTGCTGTCATTCCAGTCCTTCAGTAACCCTGTCTTTGTGGTCTGAGTAGTACAGCTTCATGGATCCCTGGTTCTGGGGGCAGATAGTCCTGGGATCGAATCTGAGCTCTCTCACTTGTGGGATTTGTGACCTTGGGCAAACTGTTTCACCTCTCTGTGCTTGGTTTTGTCATCAACAGAATGAGGATATTAAGGTTGTGATGATGAAATGAAATACCATATAAGGTACCAGCACATAATAAACAGCCAGTAAGTGGTAGCTGTCTGGTAGTTACTGGGCCCAGCTTTTGCCTTCTCAATAATTCATTATCTAACCAAAGAAAAGTACTAAAAAACTATGACCTCTAAACACTAGGGAAACAAAGAATTAATTCTGTCCTAGGGTAGGCAGGCAAAGCTCATTGTACCGGAAAGATGCAGGGCCCAGGCAGAATGCTGTCACTGCTGAGGTCCCTGTGCTATGTCTGGCTGCTTTGGAGTCAGTCTAGTGCCTTGGGAGCATCCCAGGCCTCGACCACACATCTCTTGTGCCCCACTGGTGACCTTGGGAATATTATGCCACACTAAGCCTCTTTTCCCATGTGAAACTGAGGTGAATACTTCCCCCCTCATAAGGCTTTGTGAAGATTAAGTGAGATTGTATTTATGAAGCACCCAGCATGTTACTAGGTGCATGGAAGGGGCTTGTTCCCTTTTTCTGCTCATGACGTTGTCAGGTCATCTCAGAAACCCTGTTCTTACCCCGAAGGAAACGAGCCATTTTCCATTCCTATGGAAGGACAAGGAAAGATTAAAATGACATCATTCCGTCCCAGTCCTTACCACTGCAGGTATTAATAACTTTGGTTTTTATTCTCTGTAAACCACACACCAATTATAGTTATACCTGACATTTCTTTTTTCTTTTTTTGTTTTTTAAATTTTGTTTTTCCATAAGTTGCTGAGGTCCAGGTGGTGTTTGGTTACTTGAGTAAGTTCTTGAGTGGTGATTTGTGAGAACCTGGTGCACCCATGACCCAAGCAGTATATATTGCACCTTATTTGTTGTATTTTATCCCTTGTCCACCTCCCACTCTTCCCCCAAGTCCCCAAAATCCATTGTATCATTCTCAGGCCTTTGTGTCCTCATTGCTCAGCTCCCATGTATCAGTGAGAACATACAATATTTGGTTTTCCATTTCTGAGTTGCTTCTCTTAGAATAATAGTC